GCCTTGGATCAGCAGTGGCTACCCAAGGTGCCCCTGGCTCTGAGGGCGGGGGCGGGGGGAGCTCAGTGGGTTGCGATCTCCACCAGCAAAAATCAGAACAATTCTGGCTTTGGCACAAGAAAACTACATGTGGTCAGGAGCCTCAGTTTTTCCATCTATAAAATGGGAAGAGGACTAACTCAGAGGGTGAGGATTTTCAGGGCTTTGGAGTGTTCTGTTGTAGTGGACGCTGCCTGTCAGCTGCCAGGCATCAGGAAACAGAGCACGTCCATACTTGTTGTACCTCAGTCTCAGGATGTTCACATTTTGACACCACTGAGATTGACTTCAGAGGCCACACAGCAGAACCACAAGGACAGGGGCAGGCCTGGGAAACGGCCTTTCCTGGAACTCCACAAGATCCTCAGAGGCTGCTCTCCTTCCTCGGGGTCTGGCCCCACAGTCGTGTTCTGCCTACTTCCAGGACCCTGCCCCTCCCCCAGGCACCCCTGCTTCCCCTACCCCAGCCAACAAGAACACGCCCTTCTGGTCCTCAGCAGTTCTTAGTAGCTCTGGGTTCCTCCTCAGGCCAACGGGAAAGGCCTCCCTTGAGAAAGTGGCTTCAGAGCACTTCAATGACACCACACACAAGAGCGGGGCCTGGGCAAGGGCGGCTTCCACAGCCCAGGCCAAGCGAGAGGCTGCAGCTTCTTCCTCCATTTCTACCTCCTAAGGTTGCAGAGACAAAACCAGTCACGGGACCATGCCCACAGTGGTGTTCTGTAAACACTGGCTGTTGACTATTACTGAGTAAGCAAGGACAATCACTCTGTCCACTCACTCAGAAAACTCTAAGAAAAACCGCAGGCTTCCTCACAGTGAATCTGGACCCTGAGGAGAATCTGCCCGGGGCTGAGCAAGCAGTTGGCGTCTCTGCCGAGCTTCCTGGCTCTTCTCCCAGGACACCTGTCAGGATCAGGGGGAGCATTTGGAACACACATGCCTGGCCCACCTGCCGCGCTCTGAGTCAGTGGGTCCCAGGTGTCTGTGTCGGGGGTGGGGGGGTCTGTATTTTTAGTAAGTGTCATAGGAGATTCTGATGTGTGTGTCCCTGGCTGAGGGCCAGAGAATTCTAAACCCCTTCCGGGATTAGAAGGCAGTTCGGCCCAACCCCACCAGTCCCTGTCCACATCACGTCTGATGGTTCAGAGCCTGGCTTGGGAGGAGTAGGACTCGGCCACTTGTTTTCCTCCAAGAACAAAAACCAAACCAAACCCCAGTCAAGAGGTCTGAGCTCGCAGCCTCCCGCACCTCTCAGTCACTAGGGAGGAGGGGCCCTCCACGGCTGTGGAGACTGACTGGAGCCACGTCTGCTCCCTGGGGACAGTGTAAGCGGGTAAGGGCAAGCTCAACAGGCTGGACGTGGCGGCCCTCCCTGTGATCCCAGCACAGGCAGGAAGAGACGCTCACCACCACTGCCACCAAGGATGAAGAAAAAACAGTGTGGGGTGTGTGTGTGTGAAGAGCCCCTGGAAGGGCAAGGAAATGTCAAGTCCACTCAGATCAAGTTCAAGGCTAGCTGGTAGGAAAACTAACCAATAAAGAGAACGTACACCCCTTCTGCCCAGAGGGAGGCTGTGATGACCACAGGAGCCCCGCTCAAAGAGGTGTCCAGGAAGGCTCACTCTAACCTGAAGGGCTGGATGCTCATCCTGGAACCTAGTCTACTGGTTCTGAGTCTTCCAGTCTTCCATTTCAAAGAGATCCATGCCTCCCCTTTGATCTCTACTAGTTTCTTCCTAAGATCTGCCTGTTACATGCTCATCTACATCCCAGCTGGGCACCAGCTTTCAGTGCTGAGCAGGTGAGAGACCCATAATCAGAGACCCATCCACACATTTCCTCTCAGTCATTCCCAGATATCTCAGAGCCGGCCAGCTTCAGACACGATGAAAAGCAGTTTCATGCTCTTAACGTGCTCGACGCTCAGACCAAAGCCATAAAGGCAAAGATTAGGAATATCTACTTCTTAGAGACAAGAGAGGTGGCTCAGTGGTTAAGAGCACTGACTGATGTTCCAGAGGAGCTGGGTTCAATTCCCAGGACGTCCAGTGTCCGATCACGCCAGGATTGAAAAAGAACATCTACTTCTTGCTGGGTGGTGGCGCAAGCCTTTAATCCCAGCACTCAGGAGTCAGAGGCAGGTGGATCTCTGTGAGTTCAAGACCAACCTGGTCTCCAGAGCAGGTTCCAAGACAAGTACCTACCTCTCTACAAACCCTACCTTCTCATTCTTAAGAGTACCTAAGAGAAGTCCGATCTCACTGAGGTCATTTATTCCCAAGGCAAATGGAGACAGCAGTGGCTACTGTTAGTCCCACTTCTAAGAAGCCAAACTGCTTCCAAGCTTCAGCAGGACTTCAGAGACTCAGGAGGCACAGGACTCCAGCCCCCCATCCCCACCCCAGATGCTCAGGCACTGGCTGGAAGTCACACAGGCCAAGAAGCACTCTACAGGAGGCTGTGGAAGGCTCAGAGGCCCAAGCCCCTCCACATCAGTGTCCCCTGACCCTGGGGCCCTGGTCTGCTGCAGCAGAGCCCACATGACTGGGTACTGTTTACACAGTGTGTCCTTGGGGGAATGGAGGAGGAGGACAGACGGCAGACAAGCTGCATGCATTCAGGAAAGACTGACATTTACCACCCATCTACGACGTCTGCGTTAGACATGGGTAGCGTTACTCCCATTTCACCAGTCAACTGCCAGGATCTAACGTAAATAAGAAGAGCAGGGATTTGAACCCAAGTCTGAAGCACGCAGTTTTGCTGCTGCAAGACTAACTACAAACACTAACCTCCCTACCTCACGGCGGCTCCCACTTCTTCACCAATCCAAGCATCAAATGTCCCAGACAGAAATAAAGGTAACATCCCACAGGTCCTCAGCGCCGGCAGCAGACAGTGAAGGGGGACACGCTCTGTCAGACCTCACACCCCACTCACACTTCCATGGTGTCTGGTTTTCCTATACTTTTCTATTCCTTCTCCACAGAAAGCTTGGGAGCATCACTTTGCCTTTGTCTAGTATACACACACACACACACACACACACACACACACACACACACACACTTTTATTTTCTTGAGACAGGGTCTCTCCTTGTGACAATCCTGGCTGTCCTCAAACTCACAGAGATCCTCCTGCCTCTGCCTCCCGAGTGCTGGGATTAAAGGCGGGCGCCACCACCGCTTAGCTAGCATGACCCTTCTTAATAAAATTCACTGAAAGGCTGACTGGAAAGGCCTCGGCGAGAGCTAGCGGCCACCTTGTTTATCTTTCCCACCTTCTCCAGCTGGGAGGAAGGACACAGGCCTACTCACTCACTCACCGCCTCTTTATCCCCAGGGACTTTTCACTCAGACTCTCCAAGTCCGCTGCCCAGCCTCAGGGTCTGCACATTTACAAACTGCTGTGGAGAGGGACCACCCTGGGGCTCTTCCAGTGGAAGCAAACACCCGCTAAACGGCCTCGGCCTCATTCCACCGATGCCAGGATGGGGGAAGTCCAAAGCCCAAGGCGAACCTCGGAGCAGGACCGAGGCTGTCACCTCCCAGCCTGCAGGCCGGCCGAGGAAGGCCCTACCCACCAGAGGTGCCAACAGAACTCCTTTCAAAGCCTTTCCTGTCTGCAGGGAAGGTGTTTGCTTGGCCTCTTAAAGGAAAAGAGCAGGATTTCTCCCTTCTGTGGAGAAGAAGAAGAAAAACCTGTCACCATGGGGCTGGAGAGATGGCTCAGAGGATTGGCGCACTTGCGGCTCTTTCAGGGGACCTGGGTTCAATTCCCAGCACCCACGTGGCGGTTCACAACTCTCGAACTCCATCCAGTTTCAGGGGATCAGACGCCCTCTTCTGACCTCCGGGGGCACCAAGCCCCCACGTGGTACACAGACATACACGCAGGCCAAACACGCACACACATAAAGTAAATCTAATAAAAAGCTTGTCACCATTCCACATTTTAGGGACAGCAAGCAGTCTTCGAGAAGAATCCTCAGGACAACTAGCTACCAGACCCCGCCCAGTTCCAGATGTGAGGAGAGCAATCCAAAGCTTAGGTCATTCTTCCAAGACTGAGCACGGGGTCTCTCTCACAGCAAGTCATTTCTGACTCCTCCCCAAAATCTGATAGGTTACTGAGCCGAGGAGGCCCCGCCCCACTACCTCACATTGGCCTATCACAGGGCGGAGCCCTGCTTCCCTGCCTTCCCCCACCTAAGCCCGAAGCTGGGCACGACCTCCGCGGATCTGGGCGACATCCTCACGCGAGGCTGCAGCGGGTGCCCATTCTCGCCACACGGACCCTTTTATTGTTGATGCTACACACAACCAGTCCTTGCTGTACCGGGGAAGCCACTTCTGCCATCGGCCTGGAAAGATGATCCAATTCTGATGCTTTTATCATCAACGCTTTCACCAACTTTGTTCTACCTCCCCTCCTCCTGTAATTACTTCTGAAATCATCAACACACGAGGCAGCAGCCTTAAAGCTCAGGGAACAGAGTGGAAAAAAAAAAAAAGAAAGAAAGAAATCTGCAATGGTAAACAACTTCACTAAGAAGAGGCCACCCAAGCTAGAAGCAACTTGTTTCTGTCCGGAAATCAACAACTCACTAATAAACTGTTGTTCCACCGTCCTCCTTCACTCTTCCAAAGGTAGATGAGGGTTGGGGGCGGGGTGAGGGGCAGGAACTCCTAAAGGAGAGGAGGACATTTGCTCCCTCCCACTCCTGTGTGTTTTCAGATGCAAGTTCTGTTTGTAAATGATGCGCAACTCAGTTGGCTGGGCGGCTGGATGCCCCCAGCAGCCCAGAAGCAAGCATGCCTTCCCCTGGAATGCAATCAAATTACGGGGGGGGGGGGGGGGAGATGACCAGGAGGCTGCTGCTGGCTGGAGAATTCAGATTCCTCCAGGGAGGAGAAGTCTGAAGGACACAAACCACATACAAAATAAAAAAGGAAGAAAACAAAAACGTAACTCCAAGAAGATCAACCCACACTCAGCAACCTGACACTGTCAGGAAACCAGCTGCTCGGCTCCCTGCTGCCTGTCACTCATCCTGCTGGATCAGACTTGGGCTCTGATTTGCTCTGAGCTGCCTGCCACAGCACGGTCCAGATTCCTCCTACCCTGCCATGGCCCCGTCACCACCACCACCACCACCGTCGTCGGGACACCCACCGCTAGGAGACCCCGAGTGGAAGGAAGCACACGCCAGTCCCGGCTCATCCCTATGTCCCCCTCCTCTTATGTCCTGGTCCATCCTGATCTCTGCACCCCTGTCTGAAGCTTGGGTCCTTCTCCTGGGATGGGGTTGTGAAGGGAGGGAGCTGGAGGGCTCTGGCAGTGAATTATCAACACAGGCCCTTTGCAGTCCTCAGCGCGGCTGAGCAGAGGCTTGGTCAAGTTGCTGCTGGGTCGCACAGCTGGGTCAGCGACAAGAACAGGGGCCCTGGCAAGGAGGAGGGGCCTTCCTGGGGCTCAGATCCGAGCAAGCAGAGCTTCGTCTCCCCCCCCCCCATCCTACTAAGGAATGCCAGGGAGGCTGGGATACCACCACGGTGGCAGCTCTGCCCCGGGCTAGGCAAGTTGGGTAGACTCCCTGGAAAAGTGAACCCCAGGAAAAAGTGACCCGCTGATAAATAGTCATCAACATACCCAGGCCCCACAGCTGGCAGCCTTCCAGGACCCAGGCCTCCTCAGTCTACTCAACTGTGGCCCGGGCCTTTCATGCCCCGTCGGCGAGGAAGAGCAGCTTGGGATGTGGTCCCCAGAGCGAGCTCTTCCCCTCGGCCTCGGAGCCAAGTGACCGCAGTCCTGAGAGTTCTCTAGAAGGGGGAAGGGCGCGCGCGCGGGGGGGGGGGGGGGCAATGCTAGTCCTCACACTCGGCGGAAATTTCTACCGGCTATTTTGGACACGATCCTCAAGGCCAGACGAAACGCAGGGGACGGGGAAATAGTTTCAGGAGACCCCCCACTGCGACCACAACCCCGCGATTCCATCCTCCCGGCCCCCAACCTCCTCCCCGCCCCCGCGGGAGGCCGAGGCCTTCGCTCCGGTCCCCAAGCGCACCCCAGAGAGAGAGAGAGCCTGCGACACCCCTGTTTTCTCCATCCCGACCCTCTCTCCCCGCCCCCCACCTCCCCAAGAAGGCGGGGGGTCGCCAGCCTCTGCCCACAGACAACTCGCACTTTTTTCGGCTGCGCGATTCAGGGAAAAAACAAAAACACGCCGGGTCCGACTGCCATCCGAGGAATTATGTAACCAGGGACACCGCTCCCGGGCTAAACAAACGCGGCTGTGTGTGCATGTGTGTGTGTGTGCGTGCGTGTGTGTGTGTGTGTGTGTGTGTGTGTGTGTGTGAGCGCGCAGCGGCGGCCCCCGGGGGAGCGCACCGGGCAGGGAGGGGCTCCAGGCCCGCCGGACCTCGGGGTGGAGGTGGGTGGGGGTTTCGGGCTGGTTTGCTCCCGCCGAACCGCCCAAGAGTCCCGCGCCCAGCCGGGGGACCGCGACCCGGCCCGGCC